CAGGCGTGAGGTCGCGATGGTGTACTGAGCATGGCGGTAGGTGTGGATTTGATATATCACTACCGGAAGTGCTCAAACACCAAACACTTCTACTGTTCACCGCGGACTTTCTCGCCGGAAATTAGGAATACTATATCTAAGGACATATTGAGCTTACCATGTGAATAAGTATTATTGTATTTCATATACTTGATATCAAAATCTATACAAGAAGCTATTTTTATAGCTATATTTAGAGCACTAGGGTTCCATATACAGAGATATACAAAATGGGCTAAGCCCAATAGTACTTGGGTTTCTACAGACCTCAAAGAGATTTTGATAATTTGTCCATTTAAAATCTTCTCTCAGATGAAGTGAACATCAACCTCTATGTTTTGTCCTCTCATGAAATACCAAGTTAGACACAATGTGCATTGCAACTTTGTTATCACACATCGGTTGCACTAGTTTCATGTTTCCGTACCTCAATACTTGAAAGAGATGCTTTAACAAAAAAATCTCACATGCAACAAGGGCCAGGGGCCATTGCATGGTACTGTGCTTCAGCACTTGATCTTTTAACATCTTGTTTGTTACTCTTTCATGAAATCAAGTTTCCACCAATCATGATACAATATCCAGAAGTAGAACGTATAGCCGTAAGACCCCAATCTGCATCACAGTATCTCACAATGTGATTATGGTCTCGGTCTTCGCAGAGTAATCCTTGACTTGGTGTTTTCTTTATGCATCTAAAGACTCGGGTAGCTACATCCCAATGGCTATCACATGGCTTATCTCAAAACTGGTCAAGTTCACTTACAACGAAGGATATATCTAGTCTCGTGATTGTGAGATAGTTTAGTTTCCCAATGAGTCTTCGGGGGGGACCCGTCCACGTCGGTTGCTAAGGCTTCAAATAAGGTTTAAACGCTAAGACTTGGACTAATCGTTAGTAAAGAAATTATAGACCACGACCGGGCGAGGTAAGTGGTAGATTATACATGGCGGGTGAATACCCGGGACCGAGTAAGGTCGGGTAAAACTCTGTAGGACCAGGATGAGTCTTTTATACTCAAATGTTAACAAGGGCCTGTGTAGTCCTTGAGGTGTGTCAACCTCCAACAAATTACACGTAGGTAACAAGGGCAAATGCAGTCCTTGAGGTGTTAACCTCCATCAAATTGCATATATGTAACAAGGGCCCGTGAGTCCTTGAGCTATGTTAACCTCCAACAAATTACACATAGGATGAGGGTGTATGCGTACTCCTCAAGGCGGGGTTAGCCCTGGGAATGTAAACTATGATTGTAAGGACGGATAGTCCTCGAGGTAGGTGAACCTCAAGGTAATGATTTTAAATGATTAAACATAATTGATCGGGAACGAGTTCCCGATAGGGTATTTTCCTTGTTCTAGGAATTTAATTTAAACCATGTCCGTGATATGGGAGCCCGAGGCCCCCCTACAATAATTATCTTTTGTTATCGGGTGAGTTAGCCTGCGGGCGACTCCACTCGAGGGTAAGACATGGGAAGAGTCAATTTAATGAGGCTGTTACGCCTAAATGATTTCAAAGACAAATGGGCCCACATGCCGGATATTTTACTCATATGTATATATGTATACAATATGTTTTGAAAAGGGGCAGCCAAGAGTTATGCCTATACATATATTATCACCCTATGTTGAGGGTCCCATGTGAGAAACGTTAGTTATATTACATACAGTTTGCCTTCACCAGTACTTTTCTGTAGTACTGATCCCTCGGGGGAACCACCCTTTCAGGTTGAAGCTGGAGCTTACTTCCTACACCCGTTGTTCGGGAGATCGATGGAGAGAAGACGTGGTTCGTGCTTCCTCTGGTTCTATTTCTAAATAATTAAATAATGCTCATGGAACTATTTTTGACTTATAAATTAATGGAGCTTGCGAGCTCTTGTTTTACCCTTGTGTGGGTTCTTATTAAACACTTATATTCCGCTATGTGTTTAATTGTATGTTGATGTTGTTATGCATGTTTACTAATCGGTTTTGGCATATGTATCTATCGGACGTCTTGTGCAATTTAGTAAGGATGAACTGCGGTTATTCTTATTGGGTTGTACGACGGTTGTCTACGTGGCACAAACGCGGTCTGGGGCGTGACCGTCGGCATAGCCGAGGTATTGTTGTCACTGTGTCGGAGTTGTTATGTCACGGTGGTCGGCGACGGCCAACTGGCAGATGTAATTGTGGTGGATGTAATTGTGACACATCATGTCACTATTTGATAAAATTATTGGAGATTAGGGCTATTTTAGTAAGTTTATCACTTATTAATCACATTTATAGAAATTAAATAAAAAATGTCATTTTTTGTCTATCATCCGGTTTTTAGTAATATTGAGGTCAAAAGCCCATGTATAGACCGAGTGAGAAGTTTGACATAGTAACAACAAGTTATAATATCCGAAATGTGATCATTTTCCACAATCTGAAGCTTGGAAGGTGATATTTATAGTGTTCAAGAAAATACTCGGTGAACAAGTAAAAGTAACTGCCTCACGGATCAAGTCTATTGACACGTGTAAGGCTAATTGGAGAGATAATATATAATTGATTGGCACTGTTATACCGGCTTTTGTCCTTGCGTACTGGAATGGCTGGATAAGGCACACGTGTAAGTCTGACAGCTGGCATGTGTAACCAAATTGCATGGCGTCAGCCTTGGGACAGCTGCTATATAATGACGTTATTCTGAATGTTGTGATATCTTAATGCACAATCTAAATCCACAATCTCTATTTTAGATCTCAAGTTCGGTCGTAGAGGTCAAGCCCGGGTGTAGTGAGCTAGCTAAGAGGTGGGGAACCTCGACTCATAATGCGAAGCAGAAATGTCTTTATTGATCTTGAGCTTGTAACGCGGTAGTTGGCCTAGAGCTAGGTTGTAGTACTGGAACCGTCACCGACCTCGATCTCGGCTGCATTTTTGGACTTATATCGATGGTTTGAGAACCGGTTTTGAGCTCAGCTGAGGCCGCCGAGGCCAGAGTTATCTTAGTGGATTCTGGATCTCGACTGTTTTGCAATGTCGGTTGTGTTTATACTGATTGAGTTTTGTATTCGGTAGAATTTTTTATATGAGCTTGTACCACGATTGCAATATATATTCTTTTTGAAAGTTTCTTTTACAAAAAACGGACATAGTCAGTTTTATTGATTTGAGTTGTAATTTAAAATTTGATAATTTAAATTTAATATTGTGTGTGAATCATTAAATGAGTTTTGTATTAGATAAAAATGAGTATAACGTTTAAAATAAATGCGCATGAGTATAGTATAATAAATGCACACAATTATTTGTAAGTCTAGAATAAGGAAATATAAATTATTATTTTTAATAAAAACCATATACTTTTCATTCCTAAAACTATTGATAATAGCACAGTGAAGTTAATTAAATTAAGTTATTTGTAATAATATAGTGTGTGTGTGTGAGTTGTATGAATGAATTCAATATCACACTTAAATGAATGTAATTATTAAAATAAATACAAACTAATATGAATTTATAAAATGAATATAATAAGAAGGATGAGATGTACACATAATTATTATGAATACAATGTTTAATAAATATGTGCAATTTTGTTTGTGGTAAAACTTCCCTTAGCCGCATCACGAAAATGGAGAGACTTCTTGATATGACCAAGGTCAATATGGCCATATCAATAGGGTTAATTTTTGTAGCTCTATGATTCAACATTTTGATAAAAATCTCACTGGCTGGGAGCAATGGAATCTTACTCGGGGGGAGAATTATTTTGCTTAAACATGTTCTTAATACTATACCTCAACATGTGCTTGCTGTTGATACTTTGCCTAGATCTATTATTTTTATCATTGGCTAAGGTGAAAGGATATTTGTTTGCCTACTTCTGAAGGGAGGCTTGGTATTCGGTCTTTAAAGGATATGCAGAAAGCTTTTTCTCTCAAACTCGGGTGGAAATGGAAAGCTAACAATTCTTTGTGGGCTGCCTTTTGTCATTCTAGATATCCTAGAGGTTCAAATATGACTCCATGTATGAAAATTTAAAAGTGAAAAATACAATTACATGACAAATAAAATAAAATAAAATTTGTTTTGATTATTTTCTTGTCAGAACGTTATTACCTCTCTATTAAAATCACAGTTACAAATCATAATATAGTCTTAATATATACGGAATGCAATTAACATTAGCTACACGTACAAGGCCAGTTTTTAAAACAAAGATTGAAAGGACCTAAGAGAAAATGATGCCCCAATCTAATTTTTGTAACAGGCTTATCAAATCACTCATAGGTTGATGAAATTTGTAATAATAAGAAAAAGTAAAATTCAAGTTACTTTTCCGATTTTATTGACTGATGTTACTATGGAGAACCATTTAATTGTTTTTATATATAATTTTTTATTAATAAATTATATATTAAATATAATTTTTTCATAAATCAGCAGAATCAACCAGTCCAGTCACTTCAGCCAAAATTTCACAAATTTTAGCAGAATCAGCCGATTTTAGTAATACCAAACCGGCTCTTAGAATGTTTTTGCTTGACTATTTTCAATCCGAGACTAGATCAAACATAAATAGACTAGATCAGACCTGACCATACTTAACCGGACCAGATACGACTTAAATAGAACAGACCAGACCAGACTTAAATACACCGGACCCGACCAGACTTGACTTTCATATTTATAAAATACATAAAGACCGGACGTTTATCGGACTAGACTTAAAAACAAACATCTTTAAAGTCGGCCTCACGCCTCACGCCTCTTCAAACTTTTTGAGGAGGCTAGTGACTAGTAAGAAATCCGCCTCACGCTACCGGTGGGCGTAGCTCAACCGATAACAAGGGAGTGTCACAAGGGTTAGGTCCTGAATTCGAATCTCGAAAACTGCGATGAGAGATTAATGTGCTTGAAATAGTATTCTTTTTAGAAATCCCGTAAAAGCGGATATCTTAAAAAGAGGTTACTCTGATTGAGAGCATTCTTTTTAGAAATTCGCCTCACCCCTGCGGTTGAAAAGCGGACGGGACAGCAGCTTGCTGGCCTTCTTTTCCCGGGCGTTCTGCCTTGCCTCATGAACACAGAAAAGTCGAATAGAATTGAATCGAATCAGTTCGTCGGAAATGAGAACCCGTAGTAACTCTAAGCGTCTCAAGCAATCCTCTGGTACCCCCACCCGCTAACTCTCCGAAGAAAAGGCTACTTTTTTTTGTTTCCCTTCTTAGTGCTCCATGGTTATGTAATTAGGGCTTTCTCCATCGTTATTACATAAAGCTACGCATATCTTTCACTTAATTGTTGATGATCACACAGTACTTAATTATATGTGCATGTATACCACATTATGTATACCTTCGGACCTTCGGTGTTACCAAAAGATTGATGGGATGCTAAAATTTATAATTTGATTATTCACCTTCGTCCAGTATTGTCGTGTTGGTCTAAATGGTTATCTTTCTTTTGTGATAGATGAGGGGCTAGCGGCTAGCAACTCTCGCCTTGATTCAGAAAGACAAAGCAGTTTTTCAGTGGAACATAATGGTTTGTTTTGCAATTTGTAATTCTCCATTTCTCAGTTTCTCAAAGCTATAAAACCTAGTATGATAGTATCCTCGAGTCTTAAGCATGTAACTGTATGCTTCCAGAGACTCTAGAAAACATATCAAGAGATTCAGTTCGGAAGCTTATTAAAAAAGCAAAGTCACTTGGAGGTTCTAGATTCTCAAATGCTGATGATACTTATCTGTACCCGTGTGGTGATTCTTCAGGAAAGGTTGGTATGTCTCTATGCCTCTCTATGCAACCAATAGGCGTGCTGCTTAGCTGGTTGTGCATTCAATCTCTATGTGATATTCTGATTTTTGTAGGGGAATTAGTGAATTAGAGTGTGCGCTCCACCTTTTCACCGAATTTCGAGTTTGAGCATCATTTTAAATATTTTTAGTGTTTGCACTCTGAAGATAGAAAAATCGGTTAATAATTGGTTGCAAGCTCCAGTACTAATGAGGTACTCAATCTAAAAAATGTGGTGCAAATTTAAGTTTTTGATGAAGAAGTGGGCGCAAACTCCAATCCCCCCTAATAGTGCACTCAATTTCATTCTCAGATATCGAGTGAATTACAATGTAAGGGCAAGCAACCTACGAAACCAGCATTTGGTGCTATTTCTGATGGCATGGACGTAATGCAAAATACTTCACCTGAATTAAAAGCTGGTGGGAGAAATTGTCAGCATTTGAAACCTGATATTGAAGAAGATGAACTGGATTGGGAAGATGGGTCAATTCCTGCATCTTCAGAAAAAGCTGGAGTAACCATTGAGTTTGATGTTCCAGAAGGTTCTGCTAAACGGAAGACTTTACGTCGTGTCACTGCTGAAGAAAAGGTTGATTGTCATTTCTTATTCCATTTAGTACTCTATATACCATATTAAATACTCCCTCCGTCCCATAAAATACTTCCCACTTTCCTTTTTGGGCTGCCCCAATTAGTAGTTCATGTTGATGCATCTTTTGAGAAAGAGAAGTCTTTTTTCTGTAATAATGAGTCTTTAGTGCATTTTCAGGTTGTAATTAATACTTGTCTACTTAGTTTATACGGAGTATTCATTTATTTTTCAGTATCTAGACAATCACTTGCAATGGAGCCAAAGATTCATTATTTTTTGGCTTGAGATTATGATGAAATAAAGCAAAATGGCTCACTAAACTGTCTGCGCTTCTTTGTTATGAAGCAGCAGTCAGTCCATGCAATTTTGGACGGGATTTTCACTATGGGTCATCCGGAAACAGTCTCTCTGTGCTTTAGTACAGGGGTAAGACTGCGTACATCCGATCCCCCCTTACCCCACCGTAGGTGGGAGCCTTTGCGGCACTGGGGTAAATGAAAATGAAAAATGAGACAATCACTTAGGGTACTGAACAGACACTTCTTAGGACTAGTTTTCTATAAATATGCAGTTGTACTTCATGTAAAAGTGAGTTTTATCAATAATAAAATTCAGAAAACTTCAAGGTATCAGAGCCAGGTTTCGTCTAACCCTTTTTTGAGTATATCGCCTCTCCAATAGTTATTTTTGGGTGTCTCTACCCTTCTCTCTCTCTTTAACTCCCGGTGGAGTCTCTTCATCAAGGGTTTTATCATGTCTAAAGAAGCCGAATCACACTCAAGTCACCTTGACCACTCAACCATTGTTTCAGCTGCAGCTGCAGTTGCCCTTCGAAACCAGAAATTTGACCTCCCTTCTATCCCGCCTTCTTACCGTTTTAGTGGGAGAAACTATCTTGGATGGTCAAAGCTGGTTTACACTCTCCTTCATGGAAAAGATCTTGAAATATATCTCACTGCCTCTTCACCAGAAGAAGGAGATATTGATATTGATGCTGCTATTTGGGAGAAAACCAATGCCAACATACGAGTCTGGTTATTGGACTCTATGGATCCCAACATTAGCAGTACATGTTTATACATGGACTCGGCTAAAGAAATCTGGAATTTCATAAAGCAGTCCTACTCCGTTGGTAAAGATGGTGCTTTTGTCTATGACTTATGGCTTCAAACAACGAATCTTAAGCAAGATTCGCAATCTGTCACAAAATATGCTACTGACCTCTAACGACGATGGTCTGAACTTGACCAGTACCAAATAATGAAGTTGTCTAATGCTGCAGACGCAGCTCTTCATAAGAAATTAAGAACTATATAAACCAGCAACGTCTGTATTGTTTCTTGTCTGGTTTAAATCCAGAATACGATCAGACCTCTCAACTGTTGGCCATTACTCCTCTACCTGCCCTATCTTCTGCCATTGCCACTATCAAACATGGAGAGAGTAGGTGCAATATAATGATGAATACTAAGCTAGTTGACAGTACGACTTTGGCTGTCAAGTCTACTTCTTCGGCTTCTTCGGATGATAAGAGAACTAAAAGTAGTAAGGGAGGAAAATGGTGTGAGCATTGCAAACGGTCCAATCATAATGTGGATACGTGTTGGAAGCTTTATCCTCATCTTCAGAAAGAAAGGAAAAGTCAGGATAGACGGGGAATTAGCGTAGGATTTGCTAACTCAACCACTCCTACTACTCTTGAGAACTCTACTAGCCTTTCACCTATTTCCCAGGAGGAAATACAACAACTTCGTTTGGTGCTGCAGTCTCTTAATACCTCAAATGGTTCTAGTCATAACTCTTTAGCCTTACAAGGTAAAACCTCTATAATTTTTTGTGTGAATGCTTCAAAACAGAATTCTCAATCTAAATGGATATTAGACTCGGGTGCCACCTCTCATATGACTGCTGCATCCTCCTTACTCTCCAATTATCAGCCATGTTTCAAGTCCACACACATTACTACTACTGATGGCACATCTATAGAGGTTGCAGGGCATGGCACAATTGTTTTTTCTGATAAATTTAATCTTAAAAACACCTTACATGTCCCAAACTTGGCTATGAACCTTGCTTCTATTTCTAAACTCACTGTTGATCTTAACTGTGCTGCTATTTTCTTCCCTTCTTGTTGCTTCTTACAGGATCTGCGCACGGGGAGGACGATTGGAATTGCTAAGCAAAGAGATGGTCTGTATTATCTTGATGCACTATTTGTCTCCAAATCTCCACAAAAGGCTCTTACCTCAGTCACTTCCAATACCAAAACTGTTTGGCTTCATCATATGCGACTTGGTCATCCATCTTTCCATGCTCTAAAAACCATATTCCCTAGTCTTTTCACTAGTATTGATGTTTCTACCTTACAATGTGATGTATGTGAATTTGCTAAGCAATCTCGTGTATCTTTTTCCCGAAGTAATACAATAAGTCGTTCTCCTTTTGATATTGTACATAGTGATGTTTGGAGCCCTGCTCCAGTTGCTAATATATCCGGTGCCCGGTGGTACGTTACATTTATAGATGACTGTACACATTTTATGTGGGTTTTTCTCCTTAAAAACAAGAGTGAGGTGAGCACTATTATTCCTATCTCCAATCAAACGCTTCCGTACTGATAATGCCCTTGAGTACTTCAATCAAACGGTCTCTTCTTATTTCCTCTCAAAAGGTATTATTCATGAGTCCTCTTGTCCATACACACCTCAACAAAATGGCACTGCAGAAAGAAAAAACCGCCATCTCCTTGAAATAAGTCGTCCTTTATTGTTCCAATCAAATATGCCTAAACACTACTGGGGGAAGCCACACTCACAGCATGTCATCTCATCAATAAACTACCCACTCGTGTACTCCAAAACAAGTCACCTCTTGATTCTCTTCGTCACTTCTTTCATCAAACTAGAATTTCTTCTGACCTTGATTTACGGGTGTTCGGGTGTACTGCATTTGTTCATATTCCTCCACCTCATAGTGGGAAATTGGACCCACGATCTATCAAGTGTATTTTTTGGGTTACTCTCCAACCCAAAAAGGATACAAGTGTTATAATCCTGCCACTAGAAGAAGTTACACCAGTTCAGATGTGTCCTTTCACGAAGACATCCCTTTTTCCAGTCCTAATTCTTTCCCTGTATCTCAAGATACCCCGTCTCCTCCATCTCTTCCCACCTATGCTATTACACCTTCTCCAGCGCATACAATCTCCCACCCTTCTAAGCCATTATCAGCAAACATCCCATCACTATCACCACCTAATCACACGTCACCATCTTTAGATATCTCACCCACATCACCTAGTTCACAACAGTCCTAAACATCTCCTGAACCTGAATCAACTTCACCACAAGACCACCACATTCCTACACCTACTAAATCCTCCACTCATGACTCACTTTCTCCTCCACCAGTGACAAAAGTGTATTCAAGGAAACACAGGTTCACTCCATTGCTGACGCAGGATCAATCGGCTGACCCAGGTAATGACTTTTCTCCACCACCCTCTCCTCCAATTGCTTTATGCAAAGGTGTACGCCAATGTACTAAAACACCTCTATATCCTCTTGCTAATTTTGTAACCTTTGATAACTTTTCTCCTACTCATGCCTTGTTTGTTCAAAAACTCAATGAAATTCCCATTCCCAACTCTGTTTCTGAAGCATTAAAAAAGAAAGAATGGAGGGATGCTATGCAAGAGGAAATTAGAGCTCTCGAAAAGAACCATACTTTGGATATTGTGACTAAACCTCCTGGAAGACATGTTGTTGGTTGCAGGTGGATCTTTACTGTTAAATACAATGCTAAATACAATGCTGATGGATCTCTTGAGCGATACAAAGCTCGCCTTGTGGCTAAAGGATACACTCAGACGTACGGGATTGACTATCAAGAGACCTTTGCTCCTGTAGCCAAGCTTAATGCTGTTTGTATCCTATTATCCTTGGCATCTCACTTTAATTGGCCTTTATTGCAATTTGGTGTCAATAATGCTTTCCTCCATGGTGACTTGCATGACGAGAATTACATGCACATTCCCCCAGGCTTCAATAAAACTTCAATAGGCACCTCTACACATGTATGTCGACTAAAAAAAGCCCTCTATGGTCTCTAGCAATCCCCTCGTGCTTGGTTTGACCGTTTCACCCAAGTTGTTAGGGCTGCTGGTTATAGTCAAAGTCAGGGTGACTAACTCTTTTTTACAAGCACTCTTGCACAGGTGGATTCACTATTCTTTTAGTATACGTGGATGATATAATTATGACCGGTAATGATCCAGTTGAGAAACAATGTCTTGAGAAGAAGCTGAAGTCCAAATTTGAGATGAAGTCCCTTGGCTCTAAAATACTTTATTGGAATTGAAGTTGCCCGCTCATCTGAAGGTATCTTTATCAGTCAGCAGAAGTATATTACAAATTTGTTGAGTGAAACTGGTAAGAGCGCTTGTCGATCGGTTACTACACCTATTGATCCCAATCATAAGCTTGGTCTTGCTACTGATGAGCCCAAGGTTGATTCAACAATGTATCAACGTCTATGTGGAAAACTTATCTATCTCTCTCATACCAGACTTTACATTGCTTATGCAGTTAGTGTCCTAAGTCAGTTCACTCGCATCTAGAAGCAGCCTATAGGGTTCTACACTACTTGAAAGGAAGTCCAGGACAAGGAATAATGTTCAGGAAGGGGGGCAGTTATCAGTCCAAGCCTTCATTGATGCAGATTATGGGGGCTCTCTCGTTGACCGCCGATCAACTACTGGTTTCTGTGTTTTCCTGGCAGGAAATCTTGTGACATGGAGAAGCAAAAACAGAATGTTGTGGCACGATCATCTGCTGAATCTGAGCTAAGAGCACTTGCCCATGGCCTGTGTGAGATTCTATGGCTCAGAATTATTCTCTCTAATTTACAAATAAGATGGAAGGGACCAATGAAGTTGAGGTGTGATAACAAATCAACAATTAGCATAGCTCGTAATCCCGTCCAACATGATCGGACCAAACATATTGAGATTGATCGGCATTTCATTAAAGAAAAGGTTGAAGGAGGTCTGGTTGAACTAAGCTACATTCCCTCAGAAGATCAAGTTGCAGATGTGTTTACCAAACCTCTTCACAGTCCTAGGTTCCAGAGTCTTATTGTCAAGCTAGGCATGAAGGATATCTACAAACCTAGTTTGAGGGGGGGTGTTGATGCATCTGTTGAGAAACAGAATAGTCTTTTTTTTTCCTGTAATAATGAGTCTTTAGTGAGTCTTTAGTGCATGTTCAGGTTGTAATTAATACTTGTCTAATCAGTTTATATTCATTTATTTTTCAGTATCTGGACAGTCTCTTTACTGGGTACTGAACAGACTGCTTAGGACTAGTTTTCTATAAATATGCAGTTGTACTTCATGTAAAAGTGAGTTCTATCAATAATAAAATTCAGAAAATTTCAGTTGACATTTCCCTTTTTGGAAAGTTTTGTGTGGCTACCATTCATTTACCTTTTTCTTACCCAAACCACAACCCTACATTTCCACTTTATTCCCATTTTCTTAAACTCCAATCCAAATCAAAGTGGGAACTATTTTATGGGACAGAGGGAGTATTATTTTATCTAGAACTCATGTTTTCTCATTTTAATATTGATAACTTTTAGTAATTTCAATTCAGGATTTGGCTGAGCTTGTACATAAGGTTCATTTGCTTTGTTTGCTTGGGAGGGGGAGGTTAGTCGATTGTGCTTGCAATGATCTTCTCATTCAGGTTTTTAACAGTTCTATGCTCTGCGTTGTTGGAGCTCGAGTCTTCTTTATACCATTTCATAGTATTTACATGTTATGAGGAACCATTTGATTAATAGATCCTAATGGTAAAGAATTCTATACTTTAAATTTCTTGCTTTTTGGCATTTTTCTAATACACCTATATCGCTGCAAACATGGTGCAATTTATCCAATCAATTGCGATTTGTGTTGCTATTTTGACAAATTTTCAGTGAATCGGCTAAACATGCAAAATTGTGGCTTAATTAAAAATTTCTAAAGAGTTCTCCAAAATTGCAACAAATTGTAAATGTTTCATTTTTTCACCATTAAACCTTTTATTAAAATTTTGTTGTGCCATTACAATGGCTCTAATATTTCCTATGGATGCATATACTTTTTTCTCTGCTCTTAGTAAACTATCTTCGTTTTTACCAGAAGTTGTAATCCTGTAATCCCAAAATCCTATAACTGCACACACTGAGGGTTAATTTATGGCAGGCTTCTTTACTTTCACTTCTTCCCACTCACGTGTTGAAGATATCAGATGGACCAAGCCTTACCTCAAAGTCTCTATCTCCTATTGTTAGTTGGGTATGTGTTTCTATAATTTTATTCCTGTATCTTTTGAACAAATAGTCTTATATATTCATACTCACTCCAACAATGCAGTTCCATAAACATTTCCGTGTTCGAGGTCCAAGTGCTACTAAGGAATCTATACACTTAGCCATGAGATCTACTATTGCATCTGGGGAAGGAAGCCTTGAAGTGGTATACATTTTTAACATATAAAGCAGGAGCGTTTCAGTACATTTCTAGGTTTTCTGTCAGTTGATGTTAGAAATGCAACCATAGGAAGTCAGTCTGTATATGATCAAAAGTTACTTGTGATCACTGGTCGTACAACTTATAATCCTTGACATTTGCCAAATGATAATTATTTTACATTAGTACATAGTTTTAATAGTACTAGGTCTTCTATCAATTATTTATGTTAAACATCACCAATAGTCCATTGAGGAGTGTTATTTTCATTTTCCCTTACTGCCTAAGGGTATCAGTCAAAGCATTGAAAATGGCAGAGTACTGGCTGTGTTGCACATTAACGAAAGAATAGAATTCTGATTTATGTGATCATGACTTTTCTTTAATGGTCTTTTACTGTTTTTTTACTTTGATTGTAAAGAGGAATGCAAATGATACAAGTAGGTTAGGGTATACATATTAAAGAAATAGAAGAGAACTCTCCAAGAGTCCCGAAGGAAACTCCCCAACAACTACATAATTTTCCAGTTGTCCCCTCAGCAAAACTAATTTATTCTAATTGATATGAATATGATTGATTATCTTCTACAGATGTATGAATATTTGTCCATCACATGTTGATTTTACATTATTAATTTAACTGAACATGACTAGAACAACTATCTTGACTAAGCCATCTCATGATATTTTCCATGAGAGTAGAAAGAACAAATGGTGATAACCGCTATCGAATTTTATCTAGTTATTCATCCATAAGAAGTAGCGACTCAGGAAGGACGTCCAGCGTAAATTTTCATGCCACCTATCTCAACAGTGTTTGAATTGAGGTGCAGGATGATAAATATATATGTAGCTGGAAAAAATTTAAGACAGAAGTTGTGTGATAGACTAATAACTAATATTATACAGAGTATATGTTTAGATTGTAGGTTCTTACATGGAAATATATTTAGATGGATTCATGGATATAAGCTTGTCATCCATTTTCAAGCATTGTTCTTCAGATTTGTGGGTATTATTGTATTTATTTCCTTTTTGTGGAGGGACTTTGCTTCTTTACTCACATATATATGTTTTGCAGGTTGCTGGTTTGTTTGTGGCACTGTTAAGGGCTCTAAATATTACATCTAGGTAATTTGATCATAAGTTTTTGAAGAACATATTAATTTTGAGCTCTACACATCGTTCCCAATGTTTGCTAAGAGTGCCTTTTGCAAGAGAGTGGTCTCAATCCTCACTTGATTTTTTCTGAAATGATCTTATTTAGCAGCAGCGACATTGTACTCCCTTTACCCCACAAAGATAGGCTTGTATACTAATGGTTGTTACGTTAGTTGTAATAATTACTTTTAAATGTATTCCCATTTTACCCTTTAGTAAAGTTAAATACTAGTAATGAATTACTCATATCTTGGAACTATAGGAATGAAAAATTAAACAGGGTTAACCATGGGAATGGGAAACTAAATGCACAACCCATATAGAGTTTGCATCGTTGTGGGGATGTAGGAACTAGGAAGTAAATCAGTAAACCAAACAAAGTTACAAACCAAACAAACTCAGTATATCCCACTCGAAAGTAGGGGTCTGCGAAGGGTCAGATGTACACCTTACCCCTAAAAAATAGAGAAGCTGTTTCCATTGAGACCAATGGCAAGCGGTGAAAGGTATGCACTTACTGTTACAACAATATGTGTTAGTTTAAATTAAAGACTTTATTTACTAATGTGGATAAAAATGATAAAGTATGCACTTACTGTTACAACAATATTTATAGAAATTAGTTCAAATAGGATTAAAACTATGGCAAAAACCTAAAATAGGACTTGTTATGTTTTTATTCCAAAATAGGACCATATGACTCCTATTGGAAACATACCTATTTTTGCATTCCATTCTTACCCTTCCATTAAATATGAATTAAAAATAGTCAAAAGCCATAATTAAATGTTTAATTCATAATAAATTCAAAAAAATTCAAAAATTTGTAGAAATATAATTAAAAAATTTATAAAATTTTTATAAAATAAAAAATTAAAAAACTTTTTTAAAAAAAAAAATTATTTTTAAAAAAATTAATAAAAAATAGTAACACTCCGTAAAAAAATTTAAAAAAATATGGATGCCTTTCCCACCGTCTGTACTACCTCCCAGCACCACCACCTCCGGCCGATGAAAAAAATGCCATTTTCTCAGAAAAATGCCATTTTTTTCTGAAAATGCCAAAAAAGTGGCATATTTCTCTTTTGGAATGCCAACATTTTCATTTTTTCTGCCATAAATATGGCATTCGTAATGAACTTGGCATTTTTTCCCCTGGTGACTGGAGGTGGTGGTGCTGAGGCGGCAGAGGCGGCGGCAATTTTTTTTTGAGTTTTTTTTTTATTTTTTTTTAATTTTTTTAATTTTTTGAAAAAAAAATTAATTAAAATTTTAATATCGAAATGTTTTTCTTAATTTTTTAGTATTTTTTACGAATTTTTATTATTTTTTATTATTTTATTAGGAATTAAAACATTTTAATAGCTATAAGGGTATAATTGTCCAAGGTACACATAATTAGTCCTATGCAAACATAGTTTATTTTTTTATCCTATTTGTGAAAAGTGAATGACTTTTAGTCCTATTTTGATAATTACCTCCAATATTTATTCATAGGTTTGTATCCATATTGGACGTGTCCCCTTTGAAGCCTGACGCGGAAAAACCTGATTTATTTAGACGGGCAGGTACTGATATATTTAAATCCTCAACATTGATGGTTGCTGGGTCAAGTCATTCTCCTGAATATCCTGTTAGAGATCTGGTATCTAGTTACAAGAGAGGTGTTAGCAGAAGTTCCTCAAGGGTACGTTTGGATCACCCAAAATGTTTGGGAATTCATAATAAAAACACTAAAGAAAGTTATTTCTTTAGTTTAGCTAACCTTGGAAAGTGCAAAGGAAAAAATAAGATTAGTGTATCTTTAAATTTTTGAAGCATTTACATTTCTTGGTCATATAATAGGACAAACTTTGGAGGTTTGTCTTTTGGGACTAAGTCTTGGATGTTGTATAAGTGTATAATAGAACAAACTTTATAAATAAAGAGATCATCAACTAACATCTAAAAATAACGTCATTGGTTTTTAGTCCATCTTTTTATTTTGACCCACAATTATTTCCTTCTAATTTCCCTCTTATGATTTTTTCCCCACTTTTATTCCTAGTGTTTTCTGGATCCCAAACAGACCCCAAGTGATGCAAACAAAACTAAGGGTGGGAAGCCATTAGAAAATTCATCTAAATCCTATGATTCATCTCTTACTGATACTATGAAGCATGGACTCTTGAATCAGTCAGAGTCTGATGCTCAGATAGAACAATCAAAGAGAAAAGGAGATCTTGAGTTTGAGTTACAGTTGGAAATGGCACTTTCTGCCACAGCAGTTGAAAGTGTTCGGGAAAATTATGTGCAACATTTGGGAGAACCACTACACACATCATCATCAAACCTTTCACCTTACAAAACGAAGAATAAAAAGTTAGAAGATTGTTCAGATGGAATTTCTACTGCTATTGGATCAAAAAAGGTAGGGGCCCCACTATACTGGGCAGAAGTCTATTGCAGTGGTGAGAACCTGACCGGAAAATGGGTACATGTAGATTCTGTGAATGCAATTGTTGACGGGGAGCAAAACGTGGAAGTTGCTGCTGCTGCATGTAAAATTCCTTTGATATATGTTGTTGCTTTTGCTGGAAATGGAGCTAAAGATGTGACCCGCAGGTTCCATTTTTCTTTCCTTTTTGGATATATCAGTTATTCAGTTTTTGATAATCCTGAGGCTATGTTTGGAACTAGGAAATTGGTAGGGAAATGAAAAAATTTCTAAAAGCTTTTTTAACGTTTGCCTTTACATTCGGAAAGTATTACGGAAAGTCAAATTTGATCAATCTTATCGAAATGAATATACTTAAATTTCATACCCTTTATATAATAGAAGTATTTAAAAAGAATGAGTCTGAAGAGATATCCAATATTGATTTATAGACTATAAGTGATTTTATATCCACAAACATCTCCTTTCTGACTGTACTTATATAAAACATCTTAAAATCCTATTAGCATATACTCCCTCCGTCCCATTAGAAGATTCTCACTTTCCTTTTTTGGACGTCCCATATAAAGGTTCCCATTTTCATTTTAGAAAACAATTAACGATCTTAAGTGACAAATTAATCATTAAATGTTAAAAATAATACATTCATAACATCACAGTTATCAATACTAACTACATTATAATATATACCTATTAAATTTTTTTCTTAAAATATACTCGAAGTACTTTATTTAATTATTGTCTAAATAACCGTGCTGTTTTCCTATGGGAACCTTCCAACGGGAGGGAGGTAGTATGACGTTTATTTGTATAGATATTCACCATATTTGTCTTAGTGGAATTTAGAGCACTCAAATTTGTGTTGACATAACTAAATACTTCCTCTGTCTAAAAAATAGTTCGGTTAGATCGATGTACAACTTCTAATTTTCGGTAAATTAGAACTATTGGAAATCATGAATTTTATAAATACTTACAGTTTATGGTTTTAAGCAAATTTAACACACCTAAACTTGTTTGTCATATTTTTAATGAAATTTATATATTAAATATGATGTAAATCAGCTTCGTTTGCTCAAATGGGCTCTCTTGTGGGGAAAATTAGTTTTAAATATACTTTTTTTTGGGAGGGAGCAAATATATTTAAATTCGTGATAATCAAACAAGTTTTCTTTTTTCAGATACTGCACGAAGTGGTACAAAATAAGGTCAAAAAGAGCAAACTCACATTGGTGGGATGAAGTATTGGAACCATTGAAAAAGATGGAGGCAGGACTAGATGATTTAGGGTATCTGAATAATGAAGTTTCAAGTACTGGAAAGGAGAGTATGACGTCAGGGAAAGGAGTCAATTATTCAGAGGCATCTGAAGAATGTCGTAATGAGAGGACATACTCCCAGTCCTCTTCCATGGCTTCTATTCCTTCTCTTTCAAGGAGTGATGTAGAAGATATGGAGTTAGAAACCAAGGCATTAACTGAACCTATACCAACCAATCAACAGGTATGTTGCATTTTTGTAAAGTCTCTGCCTATTTTCTGCCAAATTCAACCTATGTCCACCCCAGTGCCGCAAAGACTCCCCACCTACGCTGGGGTAAGGGAGGATCAGATGTACGCAATCTTACCCCTGTACTAATGCACAAAGAGACTATTTCCGGATGACTCATACTGAAAATTACGTCCAAAATTGCATGGACTGACTGCTTCTTCATAACAAAGAAGCGCAGACAATTTAGTGAGCCATTTTACTTTATTCCATCATATTCTCAAGCCAAAATACACGTTAATATTGATAAATAAATAAGCTAGTAAGTTATAAATCTAAATTACAAAACAATATCATACAAAGTTAGAAGCTAATTGTATTAAATCTAGTGTAATTTTATTTTAAGTATCTCAAACAAGTCAAATGTGTTAAATTTGTTAAACATGTGAAATATGCCTCTCATTCTTTTTATGATGATTTAAAAAGATTACAACAATAGCCACATTTATAGCTACAATTAGGTCTAACTACACTCCCATTAAACTGGAGCATATAAATCATATGCACTAAACTTGTTAGAATTGTATTCTATTCTAGGACCGTGTGAACAAGTATTATTGTATTCCATATACTTGATATCAAATGCTATACAAGAAGCTATATTTATAGCATATTTGTCACGGCGGTAAGTCGAGTCGTGGCGCCAGCCGACTGTCGAGAATAACACTTAGGACACTTGTCACGGCGGTAAGTACTAACTCCATCCCATAAAACTTGGCCAACTTTCCTTTTTTGGCCTTCCCAAAAAACTTTGCCACTTTCAATTAGAGTAACAAATATGTGGCTTAAGTGATTTTTCTCTCCTCTGTACAAATATCTACCACACAGTTTTTACTTTATTAATCTACGTGCAAGTCAATATTGGCCAAGTTTTACGGGACGCAGAGAGTATAATACTACCTCAGTTCTCTTTTAATTGCAACATTGGACTTTTTGCACTATTCACATATTCTACATTGACTATATTTGATTAATTAATGTATTATAAATTAAATTTTTAAAAATATATTGCTAAATTCTTCTCATTCTAAATTTTCAAAATATGATTTTTTTAAATTTTTTACTAATAGGAATTGAAAGATATTAATGGTTAAACTTGTGCGTTGGCAAAGGTGAAATGTTGACGGGTGCAATTAAAAGGGAGCGGAGGAAGTATATTACTAACTAAATTGTGGATAACTTAGAATTGAAACCCACAATTAATAATTGAAAACAAGGTTTATTAATGGTTTTATGGTTAATTATTAAACTAATAGTCTAATACGTATAAGAAATTAATGGTTTAATAGTTTATATCACGTATAGTGATATACACACTATAGAAGTATAAAAGTTTAATGGGTTCACTTTTAATAAATTAATGGTTTAATTTTTCACAAAAAGAAAAAGCTTAATGGGTTCACCATTTTTTATATAATATACGTAGTAAAGAAGTATTAGAGTATAAGTATACATATACGTAATACACATATATTGATAATAAATATATAATTATATATACCACTTGATTAATTAAAATATTAAAAACTATATCCACCACCACTACGAGAAGAGAACAAGAGATCGGTGAACTGCTTCTAGTCGTCTGCTTCAACCATCAACGACGGACCGGGGGATGGTGATTAACGAGACCGGCAACTTCTTATGCTTTCTGAAGTTCGCCGGGGGATGGTGACGCATCTGGTACTCTTCCTGTGAGTTGTTCTCTACGACTCTGCCTCTTGAGTTATACGATAGTATTTGGGATTTCGGGCTTTGTTTTTAATTAAATTAAAAGCCTAATTGCCTAAAGGCCTTAAATCCTTAATTAAACGAGTTTCCTAAAAAAATTAAATTTTATTCTACTCATTTTTGGGCCTGCGGAATGCGAACTTCGACTAGACGACTTGTCGCCAACTTCACGCCCGGATGATGATTGGGCGACGCCAACCTTGACTATTCTTCTTCCGGCGAGGTTAACAGGCGAGCACTCCCAGCGCCTGGACACCTAGTCGCCGACTAGGCGATGCTGTGACAAGCTTGATTTATAGCTAAATTTAGAGCACTAGGGTTCCATATACAAAGATATACAAAATGGGCTAAGCCCAATACTACGATGGTTTATACATTCCCCCTCAAACTGGAGCATATAAATCATATGTACCAAGCTTACAAATATATCCCACTCTAGGACCTCTAAGAGACTTAGTTAGAATATCTGCAAGTTGTTCGGTTGTGTTGACATAATTTGTGATGACATGTCCGCTCGCGATCTTCTCTTGGATAAAATGGCAATCAACTTCAATATGCTTAGTCCTCTCATGATATACCGGATTTGATGCAATGTGCATTGCGGCTTGATTGTCACACATGAGTTGGACCGGTTTTGTGTTTCCATATTTTAACTCTCGGAGAAGATGCTTCAACCATAAAATTTCACATGTCGCAAGGGCATTGCACGATATTCTGCTTCAGCAGAATATCCCGAAGTGGTTGCAGGATTTGGCAACCACATCATGTTTCTTACTTTTCCACGAGATTAAATTTCCACTTGCAATATCCCGAAGTGTAACGTCTATCCATTGAACATCCGGCCAGTCTGCATCACAATATCCTACAATATCATGGTGGTCTCGGTCTTCGAACAACAATCCTTGCCCAAATGTTTTCTTGATGTATCTCAAAACTCGAATAACCGCATCCCAATGTCCATTACATGGCTTATCAAAAAACTGACTAAGGACACTTGCCGCAAATGAAATATCTGGCCTCGTGATGATAAGATATTTCAATTTGCCAATGAGTCTTCTATATTTTTCCCTATTGGGCAAAAGATTTTCTGTTCTGACAAGATTTAGATGTTCGGATCCATTGATGTATCCACTGACCTGCACTCTAGCATACTCTCTAGCCTGTTTCCTCAAGAATATCCAACGCATATTTTCTTCGTGAAATGGCAATTCCATTTTGAGACTGTGCGACCTCAATGCCAAGAAAGTATTTCAACTTTCCCAAGTCTTTTGTTTGGAATTTGCTAAAGAGATATTGCTTGAGGAGTGCAATTCCTTGTTCATCGTTACCTGTAATGACAATGTCATCAACATATACAACAAGATAAATACATTTGTTGCCTGCAGAATGTCTATAAAATATAGAATGATCGACATCACTACGAATCATGCCAAACTCGCAGATAACGACACTAAACCTCCCAAGCCATGCACGTGATGATTGCTTCAAGCCATATAAAGAACGACGTAATCTGCATACTAAACCAGACCCCCCCGAGCAACAAAACCAGGTGGTTGCTCCATATAAACCTCCTCTTGCAGATTACCATGAAGAAATGCATTTTTAATATCCAATTGGAATAATGGTCAGTGGCTCATCGCTGCCATGGATAAAATCAAACGAATCGATGCAATCTTCGCTACAGGATAAAAAGTGTCAGTGTAATCCAAACCGTAGTAATCCAAACCATAGATCTGAGTATACCCTTTTGCCACAAAGCGTGCTTTAAAATGATCAACCTGCCCATCAGAACCAACTTTAACAGTGTAGATCCACCGACACCCAACCACTGATTTGCCAATGGGAAGGGGAATTAATTCCCATGTCCCACTAGAATGAAGAGCCTCCATCTCAGCCAACATGGCTTTACGCCATTCCGGGTGTGCCAATTTCCTCATGTGTGGTTTTAGGGATGCATATATGAGACAAGTGTGAAATGAAAGCAAAATAAGGGGTAGAGAGGCGGTGATAACTCAAAAAGTTATATATGGGATGTGGATTCGAAGTAGAGCGCGTACCTTTTCGGAGGGTAATGGGCAAATCATTCGGAGTGTTTTGAGGTGGTGGGGTAGTTGATGGTGATGATGCAGGAACTGTTATAAGGGAATCAACTGGTGTGGCCACGATAGGCTCAATGGGAGGAGGTCGAGGAAGACGATGGTATAGTTGTAATGGGGGAGGTTCTACCATAGGAGAGCAGTGGGGGTGCTCATCAGATGGAGGGGAAATAACGGTTTCCGAATGGATGGGCCGGAGATATGAGATGAAGTCCAAACATGATGGAGTATCAACAGAAGATAATGGGTCATAAAAGGAGGACTCGATAAAAGTGACATCAACCGAAATAAAATGCTTCTTAAGTAATGGAGAAAACAACGATAACCCTTTTGGACTCGTGAATATCCAAGAAAAATACATTTTATTGACCTAGCTGACATTTTGGCTAATCCAGGTGTAAAATCATGGACAAACACACACACCCAAATACATGAGGTGGTAATGGAAATAACTCACGAGTAGGAAACAATAAGGAATTTCATTATGAAGAACTAAGGAAGACATTCTATTTATTAAATAACACGCATTGAGTACAACGTCTGCCCAATATTGAGGTGGTGTATGTGAATGTAATAACAAAGTACGGGCAATATCAACTAAGTGCTTGTTCGTGCATTCAGCTACCCCATCTTGTTGAGGCGTGTGTACACAAGAAGACTGGTGAAACATACCCCGTGATGTCATGAATTGCTTAAGGGGTGCCGCAAAAAATTCTTTAGCATTATCACTGCGTAAAATTTTGATAGAATGACCAAACTGAGTGTGAATTTCGGCACAAAAAGTTTGAAAAATATGGAATCATTAAAAACAACCATGTGTAACGTGAAAAGTCATCCACAAAAATAACAAAATAGCAAAATCCTAAAGTAGAAGTGACTCGACACAGACCCCATACATCTGTATGAACTAAATCAAAAGGAGACGCAGCCCGTTTATTAACACACCATGGAAAGGATTTATGAGGTTGCTTTCCAAGGTGACATGACTCACAATCTAAAGACGAAAGACTTGAGAAACCTGGAACCATACGTTGAAACTTTGAGAGTCTAATTCCCATATTAGCTCAATGGCAAATTAGTAACCCTAATTCCCATATTAGCTCAATGGCAAATTATCAGGCCTCGGTT